CTCTACCCCTCAGCCTCTGGTAACCACCATTCTACTCTCTGTTACGATGAGTTTGACATTTTTAGATGTCACATGTGAAAACATGCAATATTTGCCTTTCTATGTCAGGCTTAATTCACTTAGCACAATTCACTTAGCCCTCCAGGTCTGCCCATGTTGCGGCAAATAGAATTTCTTTCTTTCATAAGGCTGAATAATACTCCACTGCGCACATACTTCACATTTTCTTTATCCAATCATTTGTCAGCAGATACTTGGGTTGTCTCCATATCTTAGATACTGTGAATAATGCAGAATGAATATGGGAGTTAAGGCATCCCCTTGAAGCAGTCATTTTATTTTCTTCAGATATAGGAAGAAGGGGAATTGTTGGATGTAATTAATAGGTCTATTTAAAAGTTTTTGAGGCACCTCCATACCTTTTCCTCATGTATCTGCACCAACTTACATTCTTACCAAGAGTACACAAGGGCTCCCTTTTCTCTGTTATACTTTCCAATACTTATTATCATTTGACCTTTTCAAATGTGTGTTTTGCACACATTCTGGGAGGGAGCCAGTAAGCCTCCTGAGGATGTGGTTGATGTAAAAACCCATTTGGTTACAAGTCTCCTAGGAGGCACACTCCATTTCTGGCTCAGTACCTGTCACATCATAAGACTGAAGTTCATGACTATGATGACACTTCTGGTACAGTGGGCATCCAGTTCTAAATGGTTTCTATAACTAAGAGAGTGATTACTGAGTCTATTGTAATCCTGAGGAATGGAAGAATGGCCTTGCAATGCTGGGCACATCAACCACTTTTTCTTCATCTCTTAGTGCAAAATACACTTACTAATTGTAAATCAAGTGATCCCTCATTATTTAATGGAAGTACTATGTACAATATCTTATGTCTTACAATTTGGTGAAAGAAATTCCTGCATGCCTTTCCTATGGGGAGACAACACTCAAGTCATATAAATCCCAGGGACTACAATTCCATTTTATTTTTAAATTTTTTTTTTAAAGATTTTTTTTTTAAAGATTTATTTATTTATTTATTATTTATTTATACAAGCACTGGGTACAGTCAGAAGCGCGGGAGGGTGAGAGGATTCACCAGAGCCAGAGCAGGGAACAGAACAGGCAGACTAACGAAATACACTGCTGAGGGGAGCAGTGGGCGTGGCAGGAGAGGTCTGCACGCCATGTGGGACCCTTGCCGGTGGCCGGGGATCGAACTGGCACTGCAGAGGCTGCGGGCAGCTTCGCAACCCAGCGCTCAACCGCTGCGCCACAGGGGAGGCCCTATTTTTTAATTTTTTTTTTAAAGATTTATTTATTTATTTATACAAGCACTGGGTACAGTCAGAAGCGCGGGAAGGTGAGAGGATTCACCAGAGCCAGAGCAGGGAGCAGAACAGACAGACTGACGAAATACACTGTTGAGGGGAGCAGCGGGCGTGGCAGGAGAGGTCTGCGCACCATGTGGGACCCTCACCCAGTGGCCTGGGATCGAACCAGCAATGCAGAGGCTGCGGGCAGCTTTGCAACCCAGTGTTCAACCGCTGCGCCACCGGGGAGGCCCTATAATTCCATTTTAAAGGGAAAGAGAGCAAGAACATTCAATTAGTCTTTGACTTCTAGAAGGAGACCTCTATTTTAGTCTCTCTCCCTTTCAGTTCAAGGCTACACTGGGTACTAAGAGTGAGTGGCTCTGATTTGCTGGTAATTGTGTTCCCTGAGGGGAGTCAGGACTTGGGGGTAGAATTGAACAACTGAACAGCAGCTGGAGGCCAGAGTTGGGATTGACTTAAACTGACCAATTTGGGGTGGGAGTGATGACAGTATCTGGAAGTTTCTTAATCCAAGGAGGAGCTCTCTGACATGGCTGTGCTGGCCTCCTGAGATTCACGAAGACTGGCTAGCCAGGATGTGTAGATGTGGACCAAGGTGAACAGGCTGGGAAAGGGCCAGAGTTGATTTGAATTTGGTGGTAGGAGTTTAATGAGGTTTAAAGATTTCTAAGGAGCTAATCAAATACCTTCTTTCACATCATATGTTCCAGGTGCTGTTGGTTTCAGGCAGCTACTTTTCACGGTAGTATTGGCATTTTTGTTTATTTACCACTTAATTCAAATTCTATGAAGTAATTCACTGAGCGAAGGAGGACAGTAACTAGAGAGCCTGCAAGGAATTTTCAGTGTGTACAGTCAAGGAGAGAAAAGAGCTGCTGGCACTTGGAGCCACAGGCAGGTGCTGGGAGCAGAGGGAGGAGGTCTGGGAGAAAATCACAGGCCCACAGAGGAAGATACCATGGGGGGCGGCTCCACTGGCAAGATGCTTAGAACTGGGTGACTGTTAATATGGATTCATGTTTCATATGTAAAAGAAAAAATGTCTACTTATATCTGAAGGTTTCAGGTCCATGAATACCCAGAATACCTGAATGGTATGGGGGATGGAGACAATAGAGGGACATCAAACATTTTACAAAGCTACAAAGAAAGAAAATTGGCACATAGCAAATTCTCACTAACTGAAATACAAGCAATCAAAAGTCAAGTAGCAGAATGTTATGTGATATCTCTATAGTGTGTCTCTTACTTTAAAAGGTAAAGTGCGTGCCACATGCTAAGGAAATAAACAGTAATCTGGGATTTGACTAAGAGGTAACTTTCAGGTTATGTCATGTACATGTATATCCCAGTTTTCTTTAAATTTTACTGCCTTGGTATTATATTATGATTAATAATTCAAGAACTTCAGAATTTTAGCATTATTTACAAGTAAGAATTGGGCTCAGAGAGGTTAGTGCCTAGGATTCCAGAGCTAACTGGGGGCAGGCCAGGGCTTGGAGCACATAGTCCAGGGAGTCCCCAATGGGGCCAAGAGTCACTGAAGAGAGACCCAAGCACACATATATAAAGCAGGATTTTTCATTTATAACTATATTTACTATAATCCAACTTTTAAAAAAAATTAGCAAAATACCATAAATGAGGTGGCTTGCCACAGATAATAAATTAATTCTAGGGCCTCCGTGGTGCTGCAAGGGGTTAAGACGCAACCTATGAAACTATCCGCTGCCACTGCAGCATGAGTTCGATTCCTGGCCAGGCAGGGAGCAACCCACATGGTGCAGCAGACCTCTCCTATCTCTCCCGCTGCTCCCCTCAGCAGTGTATTTCAGACAGTCTGCCTGTTCTGTTCCCCATTCTATCTCTGGTGAATCCTCTCACTCCCCATACCTTTGGCTTGTACCCAGTTCTTGCATGCATAAATAAATAAATCTTAAAAAAATTAATTCTATGCCCACTCTTTTCCTGGATAACTGCAAGTTTTCCAAATATTTCCAGAGAATTCTAGAGTTGGAATAAGAAAGGCATTTATGCTGCCTAGAAAAGAAGAAAGAGCCCTAATTTGATGAATGCCTACTATGGGACAAGAACCATCCTAAGAACTTTTCTATTTATCATTAACTAAGATAGCATAAGCACCCTAATAGTATAGACAAGGGAAATCCAGCTCAGGGTCACCCAGTCACACCACAGCTGCCATTTCTTCACCTTCCTATATTATTTGGTGTCTAAACATCCCTCCTTAACCCAGTCCGAATTATATTTAACTGATTTTTCCTTTTGTTCCTAGTATTGGGATCTTTCTACATGCTATCCCAATAGTTATCTACAAACTAGTGGTATGAGGAGCAATAGTGGAGCTTTTATGTGAGTACTTAAAGAAGAGTACTAATATAAAAATGCTGAGAGTTTCCGCAATCCACACTTTATCATCTGGCCTCTCTCCACTACAGGGATAATAGCAGATATTGCTTAACAAAGGACTGGGCCTGGTGATCCCCATGTCTTGTTTGCTTATCTGCTCTTTCTGTTGAAATTGGATGCTTTTCTGTATCCGGTTTCCTAATGTCTTATACACAGTCTGCTTTCTCATTTATATTATTTGTTGAGCCTCTGGAAGCATTTGGGTTTGTGAAACTGGGACTGAATGTTAGTTGTACTCATTGGCACCTTACATCGGGGTGACGGGATCTTCATTTTTCCAAGGGTTGCTGTGAAGAGCTGCTCAGAGGATCAGTGCACAGCTCTGGGGCTCTATTGGCACAGACTGTGGATGTGGATTGTGCCCCAGGAGTGGAACCCCTGCATAGTTGTTGGGGGCTGTGCTAGTGTTAAACGCTGTGCTGGCACACAGGGAATGATTCTGGCTTTCAACATAAGGCTGAAGGCTGTTCAGTATTACCCTGGGTTTCATGAAAGTGAAGGGAAGTCTGGAGACTGGAAGAAGAGGAACCGCGTACACCATTCAAAGGGGGACCAATGTGGTGTTTTGTCCCGGTGAAGCACGTCTTTGGAGTTCCTGCACCTGAAACCATCTAACTAAATGTCATATCTGAACAGCACAGGTCCAGTTACTAGTGGCCCCAACATACAGAAATGACTGGACTCACTGAAGTAGTTAAGAAACTTGAGTAGGGTATTTTCAACAATGGTGAGAAAAGCAAGTTTACACTTCTTAGAATCTTACTATATTAACTGTAAAAATTACTGCTTGCTTTTATTTTTCCCTCAAGCAAGAATGGTGCTGTGACTACTTTCACGCTTTTTCTCTCAAGGGAAATCTAGTGATCCTTCAACCATCTGAAAGAGAAAAATCATAGCTACAGTCCCAGTGATTCAGATCCCACTTTTAGGACCGTACCCATCTCTGGCTGAACAACTCAAAACCTGAAGAATAAGTGAACTAGAAACTGTGTGTGACTATGAGCCACAGGTGAGGTTCATTTCCCTTAAAGAAAGATGCTCTGATCATATTCATGCCTCTGAGACTCTAAGTGCATCAAATGGAAACTGGCTGCACCACAAACCTCACGTGTAGGGGGCCTCCCAAGTGGAACATGGCACAGGGCCCACCTGCTAGCTCCTCCTCAGTCAAGTGTCCTCAAGTCAATAAGCCTCCATCAGGCACCACACAAAGAGACCAAACTACTGTACCTCCTCAGGCAAGCTGACCACCAAGTCATTTTTCGTCTGTCCCACCAGCGCCTGCCAGAAATATTCACTGCACGCAGCCAGCACAGCCCGGTGGGCGCGGAACTCCTTCCTTTCCACGATCAGAGTCACGTCACAGAGAATATCCTTTTTCCGCTGGTCATTGAGGCCCAGGAGGATGTTGGTGCAGTGGACTGTGGACTCATACACATACATGGGGGAGTCAGGCTTCTCATCCACAGACATGCCGTTTACACCCTGCAAGAAAGAGAGGCTGGGTCACCACTGCTCTCTGAGTCAGAAAGAGAAGATGAGAAAGAACATCACAGTTTCTCTGTCTCATTGCCAGGAGCCAGGCAGAAGAACAGAATTGCCAATTCACACATTCATGCTGAGCACAATGAGCTCAGAGAACATGGGAAGTCATGTTCCATGGTTGACCTTTATCCTTTCTACTTACTGCAGCCGTTTACACCATGGTGACAACGCCAAGACTTGGTGACAATGCCAGGACTTTAACTGGCACACCCCAAACACTGAAAACACATGTATACTTTATTATTTATTTCATCATTTGGCAGATATTTATTGACTGCCCCCTCTATTCTAAACACTTGGCTACATGATAGGAATTCCTGCTTTTATGGAGTTTACAAAGTATGGGAACTTAGGGGTCACAGGTTATTGACAGAGAATGTTAGCTAGAAAAACCCCCACAGGTTCTTAAAATAGTATTACAACTGTAGTATGAAGTGGTATTAAATGCTATCAACACATGGGTACTTTACAACTTGGTAGTTAGATTTTCTTATCAGATTGAGAAGGAACATTCACACATATATAGTCCCAATTAAAATATTAAATTGAGCTTTGTGTTACGAGGAAATAAATCATTTTCAAGTATTTGCAATGCTTTCTTAAAGTACATGTAAGGTCCTGGGTTGAAATTTGGCCCAGATGCCACGCAGAGTAAATATCTAATCACAGCACATAATTTAGCAAGTGAACAAAACTGTGTGCATCTAAGAGCAGATACAGCCAGTGACTACAATGTCCCTCTGCCACTTCAAGACAAAGCGCTACCAACATAATGCTATTGTTGCTCATAAAAAGTTCTTGAAAAGAAGTGGAATCACGTTGTGGTTATTCCAGCAAACTTGATGTACATCCTCCTTGAGGCAATATATTTACCACATTAGGAGTCCTAAGATAAGCTGTATTCACTAGCAAAAATTATTTTTACAAAAGGAGTCTCTGCTTTACAAAGTATTCATTGATGTATTTTAAGAAATAGTATCTGTAATTAATTTATATAATCTGATTTTTAGTAGTGTTTGCTATTAGCATGGATTCTAATAGTGTATCTTTCTCCTTGGCTTTATTCTTATTTTTTAACAGATTTAACAGAACAAATTGCATGTATTTATGTTTGTAGTATGCATTTTGATATGAAATCATCAACACAATCAAGACAGTAAACATATCCTTCACCACATAAAGTAACTTAATGCCCTGAATGCCACTTACACTTCTCAGTAAAATCACAGATCTGCTTCCCGATAGTTTATATTTTCTCTTTTGGATACAAATGGGATCCTACAGACTGTATTCTTTTTTTTTTTTTTTTTTTTTTTTTTTTTATAGAGGCATGCTTTATTTATTTGTTTGCTGGTTTGTCTGTCCGTTTTGTTTATACATGCACTGGGTACAGTCAGAAGCGCGGGAGGGCGAGAGAACCCACCAGAGCCAGAGCGGGGAGCAGAGCAGGCAGAAGGACCGAGGTACACTGCTGAGGGGAGCAGCGGGCGGCAGGAGAGGTCTGCGCGCCATGTGGGACCCTCCTCTGGTGGCCGGGGAGCAGCCGGGGATCGAACCGGCGCCGCAGAAGCCGCGCGCAGCTTCGCAACCCAGCACTCAACCGCTGCGCCACCGGGGAGGCCCAGACTGTATTCTTTTATGTCTGGTTATTTTAATAATAAAATTCAGCTTTGTTATTTTGCAATTCATCCGTGTTGTTGCATGCATCAAAAGTCAGATGGGAAAAGAAAACACTATGATTTCACTCATGTGGAAGATAAAAGAACAAGGCAAATGAACAAAACAAAATAAAAACTAACTCTTAGATTCTGAAGGAAAGAGGGTGTGGGTGGGTAAAACAGGTAGAGGGGGTCAAATGTATAGTGAATAGAAACTAGACTTTTGGTGATGCATGCAATATAGCACATACAGAAAACAAAACATAAAGCTGTACACATGAATGTTTTACTATACTATAAACCAATATTACTATGTCAACAAAAATACTAAAAAAAGAGTGTGTTCCTTTTTTGCTGAGTAGTGTTCTATTATATGGGTATAACACAAATTTTTACCCATTCATCCATTGATGGATATTTGGGTGTTTCCAAGCTTTTACCATTCCAAACAAAGCTCCTGTAGATTAGTATGTAAATCTTTATCTTAACACGTTTCATTTCTTTTGTATCTAGGATTAGAATAGAATGTATTTTATATGTGTAAGTCTAATTTTTTAAGAAACTGCCATTGTCTTCTAAAGTGGCTATATAATTTTATATTTTCACCAGCCACCTGTGAGAATTCTAGTTCTTATACATCCTTGCCAAAACTTGGGATGGTCAGTCTTTCCAATTCTGGCTATTCTGCAGACTACAGTATCTCTTCATGGTTTTAGCTGGCTTTTCTCTAATGACTAAAGTTGTGCATATTTCATGTGCTTATTGCTGTCCATCTATCTTTGGAGAAATGTCTATTCAGATTCTTTCCACATTTTTTTCCAGCTGGGTGGACTTTTATTTTTTTTTCTTTTCAACTCGTTTATTCTTTTTTTTAATTAATTTTTTAATTTTTATATTCCCCATACAATTGCAACCCCCTGATTTTGACCCCAATCCCTTCTTTCCCCGCACCCCCCCCCAAATGTGTCTCTGGTTCATAGTTGTTTGTTGATTTTCATTTTTTTCTTTCTTATAGTTATTCTTTTTCCTGGTCCCTTATTTAGGTTTTCTAGATTCCTGCTATGAGTGAGACCATCCGGTATTTTTCTTTTTCTTTCTGGCTTATTTTGCTGAGCATGATCCCTTCCAGATCCATCCATGTTGCTGCAAATGGCATGTGTTTATCTTTTTTGAATGCTGAGTAATATTCCATGGTGTACATGGACGACATCTTCTTGATACAGTCATCTATTTTTGGGCATTTGGGTTGTTTTCAAAGCTTAGCCATTGTAAATTGTGCTGCTATAAACAGAGGGGTGCAGGTGCTCTTTGGAATTAATGTTTCTGTGTCCTTTGGGTAAATACCTAGGAGTGGAATTGCTGGATCATATGGAAGCTCTACCTTTAGTAGGTGGAGGAATCTCCACACAGCTCTCCATAGTGGTTGGACCAGTTTGCACTCAGGGTGGACTTTCATTTTAAAGTCAAAGGCACAGCCTTGACGAGATGAGACAGTAACTGGATGCCCAGCCTAAGCCCCCAACCCCCAATCACCCCCAGCCTAATCTTTGCCTTTCTTTCAGTGGGTTGTTTTCTTAATGAGTTTTGAGAGCTTTTCATATGCTTTGAATAAAAGTTCTTTATCAGTTATGTGTTTTGCAAGTATATTCCCCAAGGATGTAGCTTGTCTTTTCATTCTCTTACCAGTGTTTTGCAGAGTATAAAATATTCATTTGGTATAATCCAATCGAGCAACTTTTTCCTTTTATGGATCATGCTTTTGGTGTTGTATCTAAAAATATCTTTATCTAAAACAAGGTGACAACTTTTTGTCAGAATTACACCTAGATATCAAATATTTTAATGCAATTGAATGATTTTGTTGTTTTTTACTTAAATTACTGATTTTTCATTGTTAGTACACAGAACTATAAATGATTTTGTGCACCAATCTTGTATCATGCACCTTTGTTTAACTTGTCATTAAGCCATTTTAAGGGTGGAGTCCATAGACTTTCAGCAGAGAAGAGTACATTTGGTGTAAATAAAGACAGTTTACTTCTTTCAATATTGATTTCAATGTCTTTTTTTGGTCTTACTGAATTGACTACAATCTCCTGTCCAATGTTGAACAGAAGGGTTAAGAGCAACATCCTTAACTTATTTTTGACATTAATGGAAATCCATGTAGTCTTTAAATGCTATTTATGATGATATCTATAAATGTTTCATAAATACTCCTACTGAGTTGAGAAGCTTTCTTTCTATAGTTAGTTTGCTGGGAATTAAAAAAAAATCTAGAATGGATACTGGATTTTGTCAAATGCTTTTTCTGCATCTATTGAGATATCATGTAGTTTTTATTTTCATAGTAAGCTAGTATGAATAACACCGACTGATTTTTTGAATGTTAAACCAACCTTGCACTTCTAGAACAAATTCCACTTGATCATGATGTATTTGTCTTGTTATACATTGTCTTAATTCACTAACATTTTGTTAAGAAATTTTTGCGTCTATGCTTAAAAGGATATATTAGTTTGTAGTTATTTTCTATTTTAAAATCTGATTTTAGTAACAGTGTAATGCAGATTTCAGAAATGATTTGGGATGTATTTCTTCCTCTTCAGTTTTCCAGAAGAATTTGTAGAACTGGCATGATTTCTTCTGTAAATATTTGGTAGAATTTAACTGTGAAGGCTTCTGGTTCTGGATTTTAACTACAAATTCAATTTTTTTAAAAAATTAAAAATTTACTGGCATAAAGTTGTATATAATATTTCCTTATTTTTATTCTAATATCAGTAGAATCTGTATGAATGTCATCTCTCTCACATTCTTGATCATGGAAGTTTTCATCATTTCTCTTTTTTCCCCTAATCATTTTGGCTAGAGGTTTATAACATTATTGGTATTCTCAAAGAATTAGCTTGTAGTTAAATTGATTTTCTTTATATTCTGCTTTTCTATTATACTGATTTCTGCTCTCATTTCTATATCCTTTCTTTTGCTTATTTTGGGTTTAACTTGCTTTTCTTTTTTCTAATTTCCTAAGGGGGGAGTTTAACTCTTTAAACTAAGATCTTTTACCTTTTAAGATTTTCTCTTCAACACTTGTTTTGAACAATTTAAAATTGATATTTCTTGTTATCATTTTCTTCATGATTCTTACATTTTTTTAAAAGATTTATTTATTTATTTACACAAGAACCAGGGTACAGGCCAAATTTGCAGGAGGGTGAGAGCATTCACCAGAGACAGAGCGGGGAATAGAACAGGCAGACTGACGAAATACACTGTTGA